ACGAGCCTGTGGGCCCGGGACGGGCGCCCCGCGGGTCTGGGCAGCTCGGGGGGCGGATCCGAGGCGTGCGCAGCGGGGCAGTAGGATGCGGGCCAGTGTGTGTCTGTGTGTGTGCGCTAGAGCCCCGGCGAGCGTGCCGGCCCTGAGGGTCGGAGGGTGACAGTGCTCGGGGCGCTCCGCCCTAGGGGCTCCCTGCCAGACCCGCCGCCCCGCGCGAGACCCGCGCAGTTCTCCAGCCCCGGGCCAAGGTGCAGCTCCCTTCAGCCTCACCGTCTTGGACTAGAGTGGGGTTTGTTTTTTCCCCAGCACCGCCGGAGGCCGTGGCAATTGCGGGTGCAAAGGAGGCTAGGCCGCCGGGCTCGGCGCCTGAGGTCGTCGGCCTCGGGTCCGAGCTGTCACCGCACGGCGGCCGCCGATTCTCACCGGCTGTGCCCGCNTTTTTTGTGAATAAGACGCTCTCCTTTATTGTCACATGATAGCCCTCCCCTCCTCCCCTGCACATTCATAAATCCAGAGCCTGCCTCAGCTCCTTTCATTGAGAGCTGCCTGCCATTAGCCAAGGTAGCAGCGGCGCCCGCTTGGGTGCAGAGACCGGGTCCGCAGCGGGAACTAGCCCTGGAGGGGCGCCCCGGGAGTGTCTGTGGGGGCGTGGGGCCTACGGGTATACAGCTCCCGAGGCCCCTGGTCTTTCGCCTCCTTGAGCATTGAGACTCGGTGCAGAGAGGGGAAGTGACTCAGGGCTTGGGCGAGAGGGCTTCTCTTGCAGCAGGTGACAGAATGCAGTGCTCTACTCTTAAGAATCTACTCACTTTTTTTTAATGCCCCTTTATCCTTTGGCGTCTGCTGTTGCCAGGCTGGGAGGGGTTGGGGTTGGGAGGGCTGGCTAGTCTTTGGGGAAGGGAATTTCCTTCCTGTGGGTCCCCAGGGAGCTTTGATTGCAGTAACCCCTAGTCGGCCAGACACCCATAGCTGGAGAGGATCCTGCCTAGTGTGCACATTTTGGCCATTCCATCACATCTGCTCGCCCTTCTATTTTAGACATTTTGCTTGGCCTTCATAGATACCTTGAAATGGAAAAATGAAAAGAAGTTGTGTTTCTAGGGCTGAAATATGGGGGGAGGTATATGCTGCTGGGCCTTACCCCCTTTAGGACTTGATTAGTAACAGGTATTTCTATGGGTCCTCCTTTGTCACTGCACACACAAATAGCAATAGTAGCAGGGAGGGACACTTGCCATGCTCTGGGCTTTGGAATCACCAAAGATTGATTTGACCACCCTACCTTGGGTTCCTTGGCTCCATCCCTTGTGAATACTGGCCTGCCCTCTCTTTTCACAGCAGTATGTTATCTGGTATCCAAAGCAAAAGGACTTCCCATGGAATAAATATCTCTATTCCAGGCTTTCAGAGCAGTTCAACATGGAACTGGCTGCCCCCACTGCTGTCAGAAGCCCAGTTGAGACAATGGATATTTGAGGACACGTTCTGGTTTCAGTTAGATAATCAGAAAGCTGTGGCACTTTAGCCTACTGCAGAAACAGCCTTCTCAGGATTACTTTTAATGTAATGACCTTGGCATGAGACATGAAATGCCTGGTAAGAAAGTGGACTGCATGGGCTGTAAATTGGCATTTGTGGACACTGTCTGTTATATTGTTCATCATTCTTATGTAATGACCCATCTGAAAAATTCCTTTTCAGTGTTAGTACCAGGAAGAAGGTTTCTGTCTGAGTTACAGAGCTTGCTGTGATTGCTCTTTCTCTTTACTACTACTGTCTGGAAGCTCAGAGCCAACATTACTGCTTGGTTAAGGTAGCCATATTAGCCTACGTTTTTGCTAGATTTATTTACTCCTCTGTATGAATTTTGACCTTCTATTTTCTCTTCTAATGGTGTCATGTTTGAGGTCCCTCAGGTACTTATGGAAGCAGGCAGATTGTGTTACTTATAAAGAGAAATGGTGACAATAAACTGGAAACTTGGGGAGTTATATTTGTGCCTTAAGTAAAATAGATTTTCTTGATAGTCCACATATATTTATTAAATATCTATTACATTTCACATCAGAATACAATAAATCAGTCTTGAAACTGGTAAATTATGCTTAATTAAAAAAATAATGTTTTGTTTTCTAATGTTCTTTTCCATGTCAATTTAAAACTCCTCTCTAATAAATATATAATAATTCAGGAAAGCTTCTCTGTTCTTTTCACTGATGCTCCTAAAAAATAGCTTTTATGTAAAAAATACATTGACTCTTCTTTGATCCCACTCCAGTTAGAAATGCATGTTAAGATTTACAGTTCTACATAATTTAAAAAGTAAAAAGCATCAACAAACTATCAAAAGTGGGCTTTTGTACAAAGGAGTAGAAAAAAGTTTTTAAATCGTGCCGTATCTTTAAAGCGTTTGATCATGGCTATGAATGGTTTGGAAATTCGCAGACAAAAAAAAAAAAAAAAAAAAAAAAANATTCGCAGAAAAAAAAAAAAAAAAAAAAAAAGAAATCCTTCTCAAGTGAGCTATAACCCTGGAGATATCAGGTCTTCATTCAACTTTTTATTTTGTTCCTCTCATGAGTGCTTCTCTATAACACACATCTTGCCGAGAGAATGGATTTGCAGCTTTGCCTGCAGTCATAGTCCTAATGTTGAAAGGTTTC